TTCCCTCTGGTGCATTAAGGGAAACACAATCGTGAGTGAATCCACCTCCTCCCCTTCCCTGTGCATTTATAAGCTCAGGGTTTTGGGCTTGAATGGACCCTGTCAGGTAGTAAATCTGAGTAAGCAAGAGCAGGGAGATGGTGGCCCCTTCCCAGTCTCAAACCCATCCAACTGCCTGAGGTGGGAATAGAGTAGCTGATAGGGAGGGTTTAAGACGGGGGTGGGGGGGGGCATCAACTGGGAGAGGACTTCTTTACAGCTCACTGCTCTGTAAGTATCTGTACGTAAAGTTTAATGTCTGGTAAATGCTCTGATATTTAGCGATGGGACTATATTAAAAAGTTGGCATTTATTGCCCTCTGTCAGCATCTGCTTAACGGCAGTGGGGCAACACTGGGCAGGATGCGTTACTGGCAAACACAGCGATGACCCAGGGCAATTGGAGGTACCTCTCTCTTCCCAGGAGGAGCAGTTGTGCATCACAGAGACCCCCCCCCCTTTCATTGGGACCTCACCACCCAGCAGATTAGACTGCAGAGGGTCAGCTTTGTTATGCGTAGTGTGTGTTTGATCATCAGGGAGGGGCTGTGAGGATTGAATGAGATTGTGTCTGTGAAATGCCCTTAACAACAGAAAATCTGCGTACAGATACGCTGTTAGGAAGACCGATGTAGTAGAGGTGTGTGTGTCATTTTTTCTGCCAGCAGGCTCCCCCCTTCTTATTAGGTAGCCAGACCTGTCTTCCCTCTGGGCAACCATGACAGTCCAGGTATTTTTAAGTGCAGTTCTACTCCTGATACATAACTACAAGGTCATGCTTATAGGGGTTGAGGGAGTCATGCTGCATCCTCTTTACCGTGGCCCCAGCTGGCTCTCGAAATATGTGAAAAAGCCCGATCTGACCCCCGCCCCCGACCGGGGCTAAACACTAAGAGGGCGCAACAGAGCAGCAAGGGGAGCAAAGTAACGAAGTCCCTGGGGAATAGCTTCGGTGGCAGGGCTTGGCACCTCATCAGACTTGATCAGAA